TCTCTGCACCATTTATTGAAGACTGTCTTTTTCCCTCAATGTGTGTTCTCAGCACCTTTGTAAAAAATTAGTTCACTGTAGGTGTGTAAATTTGTTTCTCAGTTCTCTATTCTGTTCCATTGGTCTATGTGTCTATTTTCATGCCATTACCATGCTGTTTTGGTTACTAGACAGCTCTGTAGTATAATTTGAAGTCAGGTCATGTGATTTTGTCAGTTTTGTTCTTTTTGCTCAGGATGGTTTTGGTTCTTCTCGGTTTTTTGTGGTTCCATGTAAATTTTATGGTTTTTTCCTACTTCTATGAAGAATGTCATTGGCATTTTGTTAGGGATTGCATTGAATCTGTAGATCATGAACATTTTAACAATATTGATTCTTTCAATCCATGGACATGGAATATCTTTCCTTTTTTGTGTATCCTCTTTAATTTCTTTCATCGTTTTTTTTTTAATAGTTTTCGTAATGGAGATTTTTTACTTCTTTGGTTAATTTCTAGGTGTTTTATTTGTTGCTGTTGTAAATGAGATTTCTTTTTTGGTTTCTTTTTCAGATTGTTCACTGTTAGCATCTAGAAATGCTACAGATTTTTGTTTGTTGATTTTTGTATCCTGCAACTTTATTGAATTTGTTCATCTATTCAAATAGTTATTTTGTGGAGTTTTTAGTTTTTTCCAAATATAAGGTCATACCATCTGCAAACAAGGATAATTTGACTTACTCTCTTCCAATTTGGATACCCTTCATTTCATTCTCTTGTTTGATTGCTCTGGCTAAGACTTCTAATATTATGTTGAATGATACTGGTAAAAGTTGTCATGTTCCAGATCTAAGATCTGCTACTGTTGTACTGGGATCTATCTCTCACGTTAGCTCTAATGATATTTGCCCTTCATTTCATTCTCTTGTTTGATTGCTCTAGCTAATACTTCCAGTGTTATGTTGAATAACAGCGATAAAGTTGTCACGTTCCAGATCTAAGATCTGCTACTGTTATATTGGGATCTATCTCTCACTTTAGCTCTAATAATATTTGCTTTATATATCTGGGTACTCCAGTGTTTGGTGCATATATATTTACAATTGTTATATCCTTTTGCTGAATTGACCCCATATTTATTATATAATGACTTTCTTTGTCTCTTCTTGCAGTTTTTGTCTTGAAATCTGTTTGTCTGATGTAAGTATAGCTACTCCTGCTCTTTTTGTTTGTTTGTTTTCATTAGCATGGAATATCTTTTTCCATGTCTTTATTTTCAGTCCATGTGTGTCTTCATAGGTGAAGTGTTTTTCTTGTAGGCAGCAGATCATTTGGGTCTTGTTTTTTTTAATCTATTCACCTACTCTATGTCTTTCTTTTTCGTTTTCTTTTTTTTTTTTTTTTTCCAGACAGGGTCTTACTCTGTGATCCAGACTGGAGTACAGTAGCACAGTCACAGCTCACTGCAGCCTTCATCTCTTGGGCTCAGGTGATCCTCACACCTCAGCCTCCCAAGTAGCCACTCCAAGTCTTTGGATTGCAGACTTTAGTCCATTTACATACAGTGTTACTATTGACAAGTAAGGGCTTACTCCTGCCATTTTGTTATTTGTTTTTTGATTGTTTTTTAGTCTTCTTTTTCTTCTTTTCTTCTTTCCTGTCTTCCTTTTAGTGAAGGTGATTTTCTCTGGTGGTATGCTTTAATTTCTTGTTGTTTTTTTTTTATGTTTTGGGTATTCATTGTATTTGTTTTTAATTTGAGGTTACCATGAGGCATGCATATACTATCCTATAAACCATTATTTTAAACTTATGACAACAGTAATTACATAAAGAAACACACAAAAGGAAAACTAATAAGAACTCTACACCTTAACTTCATCCCCCTGCTTTTTAACATTTTGTTGTTTTTCTTTATATTTTATTCTACTGTTTATGTCTTGAAAAGCTGTTATTATTTTTGGTTGGTTCATCATTTAGTCTTTCTCCTTAAGACAACAATAATTTACATACCACCTTTACAGTGTTATACTATTCTATGTTTTTCTATGTGCTTCCTATTTCCAGTTGATTTTATACCTTCAGATGATTTCTTCTTGCTAATTAATGTCCTTTTCTTTCAGATTGAAGAACTCCCCTTAGCATTTCTTGTAGGATGGGTCCGGTATTGATCAAATCCCTCAGTTTTTGTTTGTCTGGGAAGGTTTTTAATTCTTCTTCATGCCTGAAGGGCATTTTTGCCAAATATACTATTCTAGGGTAAAGATGTTTTCCTTTAGCTCATTAAATATGTCATTCCACTCTCCCCTAGCTGTAAGGTTTGCACTGAAAAGTCTGCTGCCAGATGTATTGCAGCTCCATTTTATGTTATTTTTTTCTTTTCACCTGCTTCTTTTAGGATTTTTTTTTTTTTTTTGACATTTTGAGTTTGATTACTAAATGCTTTGAGGTAGTCTTCTTTGGTTTAAATCTGCTTGGTGTTCTATAACCTTCTTATGCTTGAATATTCGTGTCTTTCTCTAGGTTTGGGAAGTTCTCTGATATTATCTCTTAGAGAAAATTTTCTATTCTTATCTCTTTTTCTACCTCCTCTTTAAGGTCAGTAAGTCTTAGAATTGCCCTTTTTACACTATTTCCTAGATCTCATAGACAATCTTCATTGTTTTTTATTCTTTTTTCTTTTGTCTCCTCTAATTGCTTATTTTCGAATAGCCTATCTGCAAGCTCACCAATTCTTTCTTCTGCTTGATCAATTCTGTTATAAAGAGGTTCTGATGCATTCTTCAACATGTCAATTGCATTTTCAACCCTAGAATTTCTACTTGATTGTTTTTAATTATTTCAACCTCTTTGTTAAATTTATCTGATAGAATTCTGAATTCCTTCTCTGTGTTGTCTTGAATTTGAGTTTCCTCAAAATAGTGATTTTGAATTCTCTGTCTGAAAGGTTATATATGTCTATTCTCCCAGGATTGGTCCCTGGTGTCTTATTTAGTTCAATTGTTGAGGTCATGTTTTCTTGGATGATGTTAGTGCTTGTAGATATTTATGAGTATCTGACAGGATGGTGAGATCTAGGCAATCTCACAAATCCTTAATTTCCTTATTCATAATATGTTTATATACATATTTATATTTGTACATATTTATAAAACATATATTATAAATTCTTAATTTCTTGTTTATAATATGCATAAGGTTGTTGTATGCATGCCAGAAAAAAAATTAACAAAAAGAATATGAAATTTAAAAAAATAAGGTTGTTGTGAAAATTTGATAATACCTGTAAAGCTCTTAGCATAAGTACCTGGCACAGAGTAGGCACTCAATAAGTATTTGCTTCTGTGGAGGTAGAGGTAGAGGTCATGGAGAAGAGGAAGTACTGATCGATATAGCAAAGGACATGGTTGTAGTACAGAGAGGGGCACTCATCCCAGGGAGAATACTCCTAAACTGAATCTTAAAGAATGACAGAGTTCATGAAAAAAGGAAGAGCATCAACAAAGGTATAGAAGCATAAAATGTTGTGTATATGTGGTGTAGCAATTTGATACTAATAGAACTTGATGTAGGAATTGGAAATGATAGTTAGCTGATGAGACTGGAGAAGTTGGCTGCTGTCAAGTCTTTGAAAGTATTGCACCTTTTTCTAAGCTGAAAGTATTGCACCTTTTTCTAAGCAAAAGGGAGACATTGAAGAATTTAAGGAGAGAGATGGCATGGTCAGATTTGCATTTCTAGCTAGCTCACTCTGCAAGGCGAGGATGCTTAGAAGTGGAGACAGTAACTGAAGTAAGCTCTTTTATAGTTCAATTGAGAGATGAAGGCCAGAACTAGGGCCATACTGACGGAGAATGCAATGTCATTGTATTAATATGTTCTCACTCTGCTGTAAGGAAATATCTGAGACTGGGTAGTTTTTAAAGTAAAGAGGTTTAATTGACTCACAGTTGCACAGTGCTGGGGAGGCCCCAGGAAATTTACAATCATGGCAGAAGGGGAAGCAGGCACAGACCTTCTTCACATGACAGCAGGAGAAAGAAGAATGAATGAGCAAAGGGGAAAGAGCCCCTTATAAAACCACCAGATCTCAAGAGAACTCATTCACTGTCACGAGAACATCATGGAGGAAACTGCCCCCATGATCCAATCACCTCCCACCAGGTCCTGCCCTCCACACACAGGGATTATAGGGACTACAATTTGAGATGAGATTTGGGTGAGGACACAGAGTCAAACCATATCAGTAATTCTTGTACTTATTTTTCGTATAACATACTCAGGTCCAGTCCAAGCTTTCTTTTGGAAAACGAGGCTAGACAGATTGTAAGGGTGTATGAGAGTGCAGGTCTTGTCCATGAGGACTCTAAGAAGCCCTATTCATGATTGCATATCTAGTTCCTCTGTCTCACTGATTCGGTGATGTCTTCTATTCCTCCAGACTAGATATATTTGTTATGATCACCTAGATCAAATATTTCCACCTAATGGAAAACCACCTTTTTTTTTTAAGTCAAGGCACTAGACTAAAGAATAGTGAATGAAGTGATAACGTGAAGTAAAAAAAAGGAAGTAGATCTAAGAAAAAGGAATTTGATTCTAACATACATTATACTAAAATCTTAACTTATTTTCTTCATTTGTTTTCCATGCTTATTCATGAAGGTTTACAAATGTTAATCATAATTTTTTTCCTGAATAAAGGTAAACTGTGAAAAAAACAAAAAATTCAGTTCTGTCATACGCACTTTATGTCCTTCTGTGCCCTGTGGGAAATGGACTTCCAGTTGGTCAAATTTCCCACAGCACAAATCCTGTTGCAAGGAGCTGCATCCATTTTGTAAACTGTGTTTGCAAGCACAGCTTGTTAGGAGTATATGGGAAAAGTATGTTAATGTTTTAGAAAGGATGATATCATTTCTAAATATACATACATATATGTGTATGTATGTATATATTCTACATATTATACAATTCATCCATTTAGAGTGTACAATTTAATTGCTGTTTGTTTCTTTAACAGGGAAAAAAAGATGTGACCCAGATATTTAACAACATCCTGAGAAGACAGATAGGCACTCGGAGTCCTACTGTGGAGTATATTAGTGCTCATCCTCATATCCTGTTTATGCTCCTCAAAGGGTAGGTACATGACTTCCTTTCAAGTAGGGCTGAGTTTATAATAGTTGTTAAAAGTACATAGCATTAGTCTCATTTGAGACAGGATCAGTTCCCTTTTGGAAGTGCAGTAAAGGTATTTGTCATGCATAAGGTCAGCCCTCCAGATCTGTCTCTGTGATGACTTAGGCTGCAGCAAAATCCTTTCTTTGCACCTAATGTTTCTAAAGGTTATGTTTCCACTTACTGCCTTTCTTTCCTCCACATTTCTGCTATCTCTGTGTCTTCCTATTACAGTATTGCTTGTGCTTCCCTATCTGCCCTATTCCTAGCTGCCCACTTACCCTTTTCCTGCTGCATTAGACTGAATGCCCTCACTACACACACATGCACCCACGTATATATTCTGGTTCTGGGAACTCAAATACAGGTATGAGAGTTTTTCTGGTAAGGAGAATGTATATGGGTCTATAGGGAAGCCATAAAACCGAAGTCCAGCTAGGTAATAGAATCCCTGATTATTATTTTTATGTATACTTATTTGTAAATGTTTCTTGGGCATTTGGGGGCTACTCTGAATCATAAAGACAAGATTTGGGTGTAGCAAGGCTTGAGGACAGCAGACCATCTTCTTCCCTTCGTCTGTCTTTCTACTCCACCATGTCAAATCAGCAAGTCTCTTTATTTTATTGTATTCCTGTTTTCAATTCTGCTGTTTCATACCTAACCTGTCTCACTGATGTTCATTTTCTCTCTTGTACATTTTAAAATATTTAAGTGTATCAAGATAATACATAGTTTAAAAATCAGATATATCAATATGTAGCAGTTTTTCGCTTTTTTTTTTTTTTTTTTTTTTTTTTGAGATGGAATCTCACTCTGTTGCCCAGGCTGGAGTGCAGTGGCATGACCTTGGCTCACTGCAACCTCCACCTCCCAGATTCAAGCAATTCTCCTGCCTCAGCCTCTGGGTAGCTGGGATTACAGGCACCCACCACCACACATGGCTAATTTTTATATTTTTAGTAGAGACAGGGTTTCACTATTTGGCCAAGCTGGTCTTGAACTCCTGACTTCAAGTGATCCACCCGCCTCTGCCTCCCAAAGTGCTAGGATTATAGCCGGAAGCCACCGTGCCCAGCCTCTTCGCCTCTTCTCCATTTTTCAGACCTACTACCCAAAGACAACCACTTTCATCTTTTTTATTTGTTCATTTGTTTATTTGTTCATCATTGTTTTCATCATATATTTACTTCTGTGTTACAAATAATGGACTTATACTAATTTTTCATTTATCAATTTTAAGCAGTATCTTTGACAAGATAAACTAAATGATGGTCTTTTTACTGCCACCATTCTATTTCCTTTCCCTTTTTTTCTTAATAAATTTTATCATAATTTTAAGTTTTAATAATCACATTTAGATTATTATGATTGTATAGTTCTTATTCCTTAGTGAGCAAAGTAATATGCTATGATGATTTTGGTTTTGGTTGCAAAATAATTGTTTTACTGGAGAATTGTTTCTTTCAGTTCTGGAAAGGGAAATATCCTTGTATCATGTATTAGTTAGGGTATGCGAAGCCTCTGTAACATATAGATCCCAAAGCGAAGTGGCCCCACAACAAGATAAGTATATTTCTCACATAATAGTGCAGAGCAGATTTCTAGGTCATCAGGGAGTTCTGTCATCTTCAGCACGTGCTATCTAAGATCACTTTGTTCATTGCCATTTCAGCCCACAGGAAGGTGAGAGTATATAAGAGATTTTATGTGTTTGGAGACTGACAAGAATTCTGGTGTGATGAGAGCTTTGTGTGAGTCAGAGGAAAGGGTGTGGTATGAAGCTGCAAAGACTGAAACCAGTTTATGAAGAGCTGTCGAAGTCCTGCTAGGGAATTTGAATGTCATTCTGTAAGCAACATGGAATCATCCAGGGACTAGACATGAGGAGTTCTGGTGGCAATGTAGCAAATGGCTTCTGGGTGGGAGACTGAGATTCCAGCTTGGCAGAGTCTAGGGAAGAGATTAACAACAGAACTTTAATGGAGATACTGAGAATGAAGAGAATGGGTATTTGAAAACATTTTCATTTCCTTCCGATTCAAAGGTAATGCTTGGTTTTTATTTTAAAACTCAAACATTTTAGAAATGTACAATATAAAAAGAAACTGCATCTCATAATCTCTCCAAAAGAAATCATTATTGACAATTTGGGGACTACACCTCTGGTTTTAATTCTCTGTTACAATGATTATTCTTCTGTTTTTCATCCCAAACTTTTAACTATTCCTTCACATCCTGTTTTGTATAAACCATTTACTCATTGTTTGCTATGTGCCAGCTATTGTAATGTATTTACTTATGTTATATTATTTACTTTCCAAACACTATGAGGGCTGCGTATTAATTTTTACCATTTTACAGATGAGGAAACTGAAACTCAGAGAGAGTAAGGATATTGCTCAAAGTTATACAGCTAATAGATGACAGACCCTAGCTTTCCATCCACATCTGACACTAAATCCCATGTTCCTTTCCGTTAACATACCTTTAAGAAGATTCAAGGCCCATACAAGTGTGAAGGGGGAGGGAATTGTTGATGCTCCTGAGGACGGGGTAGACAACAAGAAGCTTTAACTGGAACAGTTGTACCTTAATCTGTTTGACCTGCTACCATTTTCTTTTTCTTTTTCTTTCTTTCTTTCTTTTTTCTTTTTCTTTTTTTTTTTTTTTTGAGATGGAGTCTTGCTCTGTTATGCAGGCTGGAGTACAGTGGCGCAATCTCAGCTCACTGCAACCTCCACCTCCTGGGTTCAAGCGATTCTCCTGCCTCAACCTCCCAAGTAGCTAGGACTACAGCCACGTGCTGCCACGCCCATCTAATTTTTTGTACTTTTAGGAGACAAAGGGTTTCATTGTGTTAGCAAGGATAGCCTCGATCTCCTGACCTTGTGATCTGCCCAAAGTGCTGGAATTACAGGCTTGAGCCACCACGCCTGGCCCCCTGTTACCATTTTCTAATTTGTCATTAGAATGTTAGAGATTTCTCTCTTCTTAAAAGTCAGAATTTGTACTGAATTATCTCTTGTGAAGTCACTTGAAAACCTAGGACATAACGTGACTGGTACATTTATACATTAAACAATAATATTATACGAGAGTATGATAGTAACATTCTATAAAGAACCTAAGTCTAACCATAAAGAATATAAGACAAAAAGCAATTGATACTTGTCTATCAAAGAGAATTATCTGGATATGTGATGTTAAACATGGTAGAAAGGATTTGGAGCCCAAATGTTCTGAAAAGATTATAAATAAGGACTTACTCACTCTAAATGAATTTGTCTTCTGGCTCGGGCAAATGACATTCCAGGGTACTGAGAGAACTTGAGAATGAGGTCACTGAACTGCTCTCAGTGATCCATAAAGAACTGTGGCCAGTGGACTATGTTCCAGAAAGCTGATGTTAAAATCATCAATTTCTCCCAATTACCCTGTTTTTTAAAGTTTATTGCAAAAAAGTTTAAGCAGTTTCATTTTGGCAATTATTTTATAGATGGTACTATGTAGTTCATATTTTATCACATCAGGAGATGTACTTTTAGTAATGCTAAGACTGAGCAATGGGTTCAGATGGTGACAGTCTGATTCACTATAAAGTTTCCCATCGTCCTTAAACTTAATTGTTTTACCATCCATTGATGAACATTGTCTGATTCAGTTATTTCACTAGAGATGACAAAAAGGCGATTTTGAATTCTGTCATTCCTTTTGTATTTTTTATTGGCTAGAGTAGTTTTATAGAGAATACTGTCATTCACTCACCACAGCTTCAGGTGTTAGAATAGTCTGAAGTACAAATCATACCACAGAGGCAGAATAAATGCTTAATTCTTTTAATTATCATTTTAGAGAAGAATAAAATATCCTAGGAACTTTCAATGGTATCTAATGATTTATTTCCCTCCCTCCCCCTCCCTTTACATACGTGTGTGTATAAATACATATGTTTACATTTGTATACAGACACACACACACACTCTTCTAGTATCTGAGAAACTAATGGATTTAATGTTTTCTATATGTCTTATTTAGTTCTACACATTTTTTTAAAATGCTTGATTGGCCATCTGTGGCCCCTTCTGGGTGATATCTCTTAACATCACTAAAATAGTTTGTGAGAGCTTCCTTGCTTTCTGGTGTAACAAGATATGCCACCCAACTGGTACATTTGCTAATGAAGACCTGACATTTCTACCAAGGATGTTGGTTCTTTTTAGAGAGGAATGGTTCTTAGAGACTACAACTTGGATGCTAGGGGTGCTCCTTGACATTGGATTGTTGTTGCTTCTAGGCTTTTTTGGTGGACAGAATTAACTCATTATTTTATTTATTTATTGAGACAGAATCCTGCTCTGTTGCCCATACTAGAATGTAGTGCTGTGATCACAGCTCACTACAGTCTAAACCTCCTAGGCTCAAGTGATCCTCTTGATTCAGCCTTCCAAGTAGCTGAGAGTACAAGTGCATGATACTACACTCAGCTAATTAAAAAAAAATTTTTTGTAGAGACAGGGTCCAACTATGTTGTCCAGGCTGGTCTCAAATTCCTAGGCTCAAGTGATCCTCCTGCCTCGGCCTCCCAAAGTGCTGGGATTATGAGCCACTATGCCTGGCCTAAGTTGTTATTTTTAGTCAGCAAATGTTTCTAGATTAGAAACATACCTTCTTGACTATACTGAGGCGACCAAGTGTTTGTTGAATGGCATTTTACAAAAGTTTTCCAAATATTGCTTGGCATTGTTTACTTCCAGCAATAATCACAAAAGTCATTTTCCCCCTTACATAAGTAATCTTTGTTCTTAAATTGAAATATTCTTGCACAAGATCATTCTTCTAACCATTGTCTGTGTAATTATTACTGTAGCTACTGTTAGCTGAGACAAATGCTCTTACATTTTGGCTTTCATTAAATTTGAGAGAGAACTTTCATTATACTCTCATTATTCAGTGGGCATGCCTATATAGTGGTGTGCCTTCTCCATACTGACACAGTTCATTGCAGTCCAGACCATATGATCCAAACTACAAATCAAGAAGGAAGATGTGATTCAATTCTATAAAATAGTGATTCAACACTCATCAGATTCACCTTTATTGGGGACCTGCCATGGGTTAGCCATTGTGGGAAACAGTAATTAGGCATGATCTTTGCCATCAGGAAGCTTATCTATGAGTAGAATAGATTAGGTGAGACAAATATTGATTCTTTACCAGACCTAAGGATATTAATGGTAGTGGGGTTTGAAACTTAACATAAGCTTAACTTATGGAACACTTCTTTATATAGTAAGCAATAACCTATCAAAAGTCAATATCCTAGAAGGTAGTCAGGTGGAAATGATCTATGTGAATTATAAATCCCTTAAAGAGTACTGAGGATAATTAGGATTCTCTATCTATCTCTGTATATGCCTATATATTTCTAAGTTATAGAAGTTGTAATCTCAGCACGATAGATGTCAAACTGCTGGGATGCAATGACAAGGGTACTGACCCAGAGGAGTCTTGGTTTTTAGAAACGTTCTTTTATTTCTTAAGAATAAACTTTCAGTGCATCACAGATGATTTCAATAAGCCTCACAAAATGAAAGGAAAAAGAGAACTAATTATACCCAAAAGTTGGAGTGGAAACTTTTTATAAGATGGTCTTACTTTGGAAATTGAATTAAGAAATGAGAAAATGTTGGCCAGAGATGATGCATATTTTGTATAAGTCAGAGTTTGACTCTCATTAGAGTACTCTAGTATTGTGACATTTCTTCAGTTTGAGGCTTATTACATTCTTTATATGCATGCTTTGTGAAAAACATTATGCTAGGCACTCTTTGGAGACAGGGGTAGGGACAGGAGAAAGTAGCAGTAAATAAGACAAAGACACTAAATGGAGATGGGGATAGGGGAGAAGAAAAACATCCCCAATAATTAAATTGATTGTAATGAAGTCAAGAAAATAGACTTGTAGCCATTTACTGCAGTATAACGTAATACAAAATTTAAAAAGTGTTAAGGTGAAATTACAGGCAAGCTGTTGTGTGAATGTGAAGGGGAGAGAGAATAATCCTGAATTGTAGTGATTAGGAAAGTCTTCAAGGAGGAGGTGGCATTTGAACTAAGCCTTGGAAGATAAGAAACATCTCAGTGGTAGGAATGTAAGGAGAAAGGCATTCCAATTGAGGGAATTAGGTGCTCCAGGGAAATGGCCAATGTGATTGGAGATGAAACTGAAAAGTTAAGGTTAGGGCCAAATTATAAAAATCCACACATATCATACTAACCAATAAGCCTGGATTTTAATTGTCCTTCCCTTAGATTCTTTCTGTAGGCCAACAGCCTTTATTTTATACTCTCTTGAGTACTACATCAATAAATAACAGTGCTTTTCTCCTTCACATTTCAGAACATATGCCCTTCTTTACAACATCTTTAATAAGACCCCACCTGATTTGTTCCTTGCAAGCCAGGAGGCTGATTTTCAAGTTTCTAATAAGAGAAATTTCTAGCACTATAAATTGTTCTTCCTTATATTCTACAAAGAATCATAACTATCTGAATATATTAGCATTTAATGTTACTCTAAGTTATTCAAGGAATACTCAAATAATATTTGTGAATATCGTTCAGCAGAAACAGGACAGAAATGAATAAATACTACCCTGGTATCTTTGTTTGCTGTTTCCTCTACTAATATTTGTAAATTTGATATTGCAGAGTAGTCTATTTCCTGAATTGAGTCTTTATTCTTGAATCTGTCTTTCATGAAAATTCTATAATCTTATAAAGAATAGTACATTATTTATTGTTCAACAAAATGTTGTTGCTAGTAATTGGTGAGTAATAAAATACCTTAAAGTTTTATAATATCATACAAGTATCATAAAAACTAGTATTTAGTTGAAATGGTCAATTATATTTCTTTAAAAATTTGATCATATTTTATTTTATTTTTATTTTTTATTTTTGGAGACAGGGCCTTGCTTAACCTCCCAGGCTTAAGCAATCCTCCCACCTCAGCCTCCTGAGCAGCTGGGAGTACAGTCGTGTGCCACCATGCCCAGATAATTTTTTTATTTTTTGTAAAGTCAGGGTCTCACTATGTTGCCCAGGCTAGTCTCAAACTCCTGGGCTCAAGCAGTCCATCCACCTTAGCCTCCCAAAGTGCTGGTATTACAGAAGCGAGCAGTCATGCCCCTCCAGATTTTTTTGGGTTTTTTTGCCCTATATTCTGCCCACTTCCTAGTGTTTCACAACTATATCTTTCTTTGTTCTATTCTTCCCATATTTAGCACACAATTGTCAACTATATTATTTCAATACAGGGCTTATTATACTTGGGCTAAGCATTATTCATTGTGTTAAAATCTTATCACACGCTGGAATGTATCTTTTTTTTTTTTTTTTTTTGAGACAGAGTCTTGCTCTGTTGCCAGGCTGGAATGCAGTGGCATGATCTTGGCTTACCGCATCCTCCACCTCCCATGTTCAAGCGATTCTCCTGCCTCAGCCTCCTGAGTAGCTGGGACTACAGGCACACACCACCACACCCGGCTAATTTTTGGAATTTTAATAAAAACAGGGTTTCACCATGTTGGCCAGGATGGTCTCAATCTCTTGACCTCGTGATCCACCCGCCTGAGCCTCCCAAAGTGCTGGTATTACAGGTGTGAGCCACCACACCCAGTCTAGAATATATCTGAGACTTAGATTTATTTAGATATTGAATTTGACTCTGAGAGATTGTGTTTATATTAGAAATGGAACCGATCTAGTATGCCAGTCCTGAATTGTTTCCCACAATAGATGTTTTATTTGTCTAGTGTAGTTTTTGCTGTGAGCCATGATTTCACTTAGAATTTAAGTGGTTTAATCCACAGCTGTGTATTAGTCACCTATTGCATGAAAATTGTATATTTATATAGTTCTCCCCTATCTTTTTCCTAAACTCCAGATGGGTGTATACTACCGCCAAGGAGACATTTCTACTTAGGTATCAGCCATCTCAAAACTAACGTGGTCAACCACAAACTCTTAGTTTCTTCACTAACTTATTCCTCTGCTAGTTTATTCCTCTTAATAAGTAGCACCGCCATCCACCCAGTGATTTGAGCCAAAAACATAGGAATCATTCTTGAATTCTCAGTTTCCAAATTTATTCCCTCACTCAAGCTACATTATCAGCAAGTCCTGGTGACTCTTCCTCCGAGCAGTATCTACCACCTGCTCACAGTCCTCTGTTCTGCTCTTGCCACCCCAGGCCAAGCCCCAGTTCCCTCTCCTGGGCTTCTGCTCCTGTTCCTATCTTGCCTTCTGATGTTTTACATACATTCTCAACAAGAAGCCAGAGTGATCTTTTTAAAGCATAAGCTAGCCTTGTCAATTCTTGCTTTAAACTCTCCAAAGGCTTCCCATTACACTTAAAATAAAACCCCCCCGCTTACCTTGGCTGACAAAACTGTATCTGATCTGGCCCCTGCCTTCTCTCCAATTTTACACCACTCATGGTTGTTCCCTACAATCGAATCACACAGGCCTTATTTCTCCTCCATTTCCCCAAGCCTGTTCTTGCCATGGAGACTTTGCACAGTTACTTTCCTTTGCCTGGAACATTTTGTCCTTTCCATTAGTCTAAAGTAACGTTAACTCAAGTAGTCACTTACACGCACACACCCACAAAATTAAGTAGTCACCTTTATAATGTGGCATATTTTATTGTCATCAGTTTTCACAGCACTTCTCAGTATATGAAATTATCTTTTCATTGTTTACGTTCTGCCTCATCCCCCCACCAGATACACTCAGATATGAACATGATGACAGCGGTGACCTCATGTTTACTGTTGTCTCCCCAGCATCTGGAATAGTGCCAGGCCCATAGTAGCTCTTCAGTGGGTATTGAATGAGTGGTGTTTGAATGAACTGTGACAAATGGTATGTGTGTTTCCATTAACAGCAGTATTGAAATGGTTCTTTTGATGCCATTAATATTATTTTAATAGGATAACAGAGTTCTCTATTTCTCTCTTGTTTACGCTTTAGGTACGAAGCCCCACAGATTGCATTACGTTGTGGGATTATGCTGAGAGAATGTATTCGACATGAACCACTTGCCAAAATCATCCTCTTTTCTAATCAATTCAGAGATTTCTTTAAGTATGTGGAGTTGTCAACATTTGATATTGCTTCAGATGCCTTTGCTACTTTTAAGGTAATTTTTTTTTAATCAGCTAGGTCATTTATAGTCACTTGGCCACTGAAGGGGCAATCTAATTTTAAAAAGCAAGAAATTTTATTTCTTAGGCCTCAGTGTAGCCAACCATGTATGATGTGGCTCATAAGAGGCATCTGTAAATAGAATGCAGTCTATGAGGCCAGTCTGTCCTATTGCAGAAAAACAACTCAAAATATTTGTCACAGGCTCAAATGAAATGAATTCCAGCACATACAGTTATGTAACAAAAGGCATATGTAGTGCTCTGTGTGTGGCACATTGTCATTTATGTTAAAAACAAGTTAAAGGGCATAAGCTCCCACTTAAGATGCATATACACTGAATACCTCTGCAAGAATGCATAGAAAACAGCAACAGTGATTATTTCTGGGGAATGGAACTAGGTAGTGAAGGGAGATGGAGAATTTCATCTTTGAATGTGAAGGGCATCATGTTATTTTATGAATGTAATTTTTAAATGTCCACATGGTAAAACAAAATAGTAATAAATTATATTGTAGTTTTTCATAATCATCTACAGTTTGATCATGTATTATCTACTTTTTCACTATGTAGTAACTTGTAGGATGAAGTATATTCACATTGTTAGGTAACTGACTACCAGAACTTTTTTACTTTGAAAAATTCAAACTCTACCTCTCTACTTATTTTGTCTTTTTTGTTTTTTTTTCCTTTTTGTGGAGAATGGGATCTCACTATATTGCTCAGCCAGGTCTTGAACTCCTCTGCTCAAGCTATCCTCCCACCTCTGTGTCCCCAAGAGCTGGGATTACAGGTGTGAGCCACAGTGCCCGGCCCTCTACCTCTATACTTATTAAACAATAGCTCCCCATTTCCTCCTCCCTCCAGCCCCTGATAGCCATTTTACTTTTGGTTTCTGTGTTTTATCATCAAAAAGATGTTCAGACAATATATCAGAAAAGAGTGCAGCTAATTTGCAGACAAACATACCAAAACTTATTCATCAGATGAGTGATGTTACATTTAAGGTTTCTATTTTAGAAAACCATTTACTTAGACTTATGATCCTGCCATTATTTAACATATTTTGAAGTTGGTATCAATGTGTATGACATGTTCATTTTTCAATAATGGCAAACTTTTATGTTTCAAGGGCAGATAAAAGTTTTGGAAACAAAAACCTATTTGACATTTTGGTTAGTATATAAGGTGGGTGATCAAGTTAGCTAGAGTTATTTGGGGGGATAATGATTATCATAAAAATAAATTTTAAGATATAAATAAAATAGACATGATTTTCTTCAGTGTCTACCAAATCAGCTCTGAAGGCCATTTTAGAAGAGGAATTCCAAAAATATTATAAGCTGACAATGTAATAGCAGCATTGAAAAAAATAGGCTTTCAGGTTGAAAAAGTAGATAAGACTCATTTAAGTATATATATATATACACACACACACACACACACACACACACACACACACACGTATTCAGATTCATTTCTTTAAAACCATTTTAACAATTTAATTGTTCTATTTACATAATTCCAAATTCATACTTTTTTCAGGATATACCTATATAACATTTTTTATAAGTTTTACTTAATTGTAATCCATGTATAAATTATTATTTTTATATTTTGTCTTACATACATATTTCAATAACATTGATAGAGTTCATATACTAATATTAATACATACTCCAATCTTATTACTTTATGAACAGTGTTTGAAAGTTGCCTATGACTTAGATAATAAATAGTTCTTTTTAAATAGCTCTCCAGTGGTGGAAAAAGGGGAAAGCAGTAGTTTGCTGTGCTGAAAACTACCTATTATATGCAGACTAGAAAGTTACCCAGCCTGTTCTGAGAAGGTGCCATAAGCCTGTTGAAAGGTATATTAGCTCACATGGTCACAGAGAGTGTGAGAGAGTGTCAGAGTAAAGGGTGGGAGATGTCAGTGGGGTAGAAGGAAGCTGGGACTTAGGGAGAAGAACGCCTGGCTTCTGGTGGAGGGTGAGGGACAGGGCATGGTCTCTGTGGAGGCGGAGCCTGAAGTCTCAGCCGTCACAGGGATTTGCTGTGATGAAGAAGATCAAACAGTGGTGGGTGGTTAAAGGGGAGGCAAGTCCTGGCAGCTGCCTGGGACATGATCTATAAAAGCAACCAGGCCATCTCTGGAAATACAATGAGCTAAGGAAAATTGAATTGACGAAAATTCTGCAGGGAGAATACTGTTTGAGAATGATGGGAATATTTGGAAGCCACTTGGGGTGGGCTAGGGGTAGATTCCAGGGCAGGCTTAAGCAACAGCAGCTGGTTGTTCACAGCTGCCAAGGAGCACGGTGAGCCCAGTTAACTGCAGCAGTTTTTGAGATAAAGTCTCACTTCATCACTTAGGCTTGAGTCCAGTGGTGCAATCTCAGCTCATTGCAGCCTTGACCTCCCAGGCTCAGGTGATCCTCCCACCTCAGCCTCCCAGGTAGCTGGGACCACGGGCATATACCATCACGCCCAGCTAATTTTTGTATTTGTAGCAGACATGGGGTTTTACCATGTTGGCCAGGCTGGTCTTGAACTCCTGACTTCAAGTGATCCACCCACCTTGGCCCGTCCCAAAGTGCCCAGGATTACCGGTGTGAGCCACTGGACCCGGCCACTGTGGCATTTTTGTTGTAATAGCAGGAGGGTGTTTGGGTTTTGAACCAGCACTGAATTGCCTGAGACAACAGAGGAAATGCCATCATTTCCCCAGTCTCAGGGAAACCTGCAACAAACACAAGGCCTCTAGCATCTGGGTTTGAAAGGACAGTGTTCGCAACCTGCTAGGGTGTCCACAGGCCTCCATTCAGCCTGCTGGAGAAGGGAAGAAGGAAAGTTAAGGAGAGATGAAGTATAAAGAGTAGGAGGCTTGGGGTAAGGAAAGCAAAATCTCAGGAGAATAGCTGAGTGAGGGAAGGAAGCAAGGAAAGGAGGGAGGGAAGGCTTGGAGAGCAGACTCCAAGAAATGACTGCTAGGTGGAGAGAGGGGGGGTGAGGGCAACAGCATGGCTCTGGGCTCGGAGTGTTGGAAATGCCAGGAGCAGCCATGTCTCACCACAGAAGACAAAAATTGTACAGTGGCTAGAGATGAGCCCCCAAAAAGGTGGATATAGAGCATGTGGTGAGATAGGCCTTGGTTGCATCAAACATGAAGAATGACATTAAATGCAAAGGATGATTCCATTTCTTTCTACCAAAATGTCTGTGTCTAAACTACTAAGGAGGTGTTTGCTAATAATAGACATTACAGTCCCATTTTTTTTCTTTCCTATCAGATGGCTCTTCACTGTCATGGAAACAAGTAAATTCATTTTTTTAAAAACCACAAGTAAGACTTCACATAATTACAAACATAGAACAAACACTAACGGAGGGAAAAAGCAAATACTTAATGAAAATGTATTTCTGAAAATTTCCCCAAAGGTTTTTAAACATTTAATACAATAAAATGTACTTGATAGTAATTTCTTGTTAAGCCCAATTTAATTTTCAGAAACAATATTGAATCACAAAAATAAATGATGATGTTTTAATTTGTATTTAAGCCAATTTTCCATTCAGTTTAAGTCAATCCTTTAAAATCTAAATAACTATAAAAAGTTTTCTAGTATGCTGCCAGTATTGGAAACACCAATTTTCTATATTTTACCAAATGTTTATGGTTAATATAATGTAAAAATGACCATAAATCACTTTTTAAGTAGTTTCTTTCCTTCTTTCCTTCCTTCCTTCCTTCCTTCCTTCCTTCCTTCCTTCCTTCCTTCCTTCCTTCCTTCCTTCCTTCCTTCCTTCTTCCTTCCTTCTTTCCTTCCTTCCTCCCTTCCTCCCTTCCTCCCTTCCTCCCTTCCTTCCTTTTTGAGACAGAGTTTCACACTGTCGCCAGGGCTGGGGTGCAATGGCATGGTTGTCACTCATTGCAACCTCCGCCTACTGGGTTCATGAAATTCTCCTGCCTCAGCCTCCCAAGTAGCTGGGATTACAGGTGCACACTACCACACCTGGCTAATTTTTTGTATTTTTAGTAGAGACTGGGTTTCACTATGTTGGCCAGAGTGGTCTCAAACTCCTGACCTTGTGATCTGCCTGCCTCAGCCTCCCAAAGTGCTGGGATTACAGGCTTGAGCCACCACACTTGGCCAATTAGCTGGTTTCAAAGGGTTTTGTTTGGTCGGTTGATTGACTTGATTTTGGCATTGGCTTTGGGTTTTTATAACCTCCTACTCTAGTCTTTTTGGTTTTGAGCTCTTAAAGGGACTGTTGCCCAGTTTAGTTATTAATATTGTAACATTATTTATGTTTTCGGCATAGAGTTGTCTACCAATAGTCCTTTCTCAAAAAATGATTCCTTACAACCATAATCTCTTTCATCCCTCCCTCTAAAAGGTCTCATAATAGGAGTGCTTTGAATTCCGTCTTTCTCTGTCACCTGATAAGCTGGATGTCCTTGAGCAATTAATTAACCTTTGGGTTTTACTTTTTCACATCTGTGAAATGAAGAATCACGGACTTGTGAAGATGAGAAACCACATGTGTAAAGTGCTCGGCACACTCCCCAGCACACAGTCAGCCCTCTCAACAGCAACTGTGGCAGGCTCCTCAGCCTTTTATGTCCCCGCCCTCACCCAAGTTTCTCCAAGCAGAATTCACTAAAAATATCACTATCAGATTTTTGGCATTATAGTTATACTATGCAAAACTTAGGCCTTAAAAACAGAATCTTTAGGAGGTAGGATGAAAGAGTACACTATTTGAAATAAGGTTTTTAAAATCTAAATTCTTTAGCATTTGAACTTTATTTTTCTTCACAACTTTCTGTCTTTTCCTTTTTGGGTAGGATCTTAGCTGGTTTTGTGTGTGTGTGTGTGTGTGTGTGTGTGTGTTTTATCCACTTACGTGATCTATAATGCAGCGATTATATTTACCTATGTATTATGTGTACATAAGCCTGTGTGTATGTATATATGGTTTGTACATACACTTATTATGTAGATAAATTTGAGGGTATATATGTATCAATCCTATTACACACTCAAGTGGAAATGTGGGCGTGAGAAAGGGAACGTGTGCATTGTTTTTGGCTGTATCCATGATATATATGTATGCTGCAGGAGCCCCACCCTATTATGGTTTTCTAATACTGGATTTTTAAGCTCTTTCAAGGTTTTTTTGCCCTCGGAATTTGAAAGTGTTGGTTTTAACTTAACTCCCTCTTGATCCCTTTTTCGTTGGGATTACACTAATGTATGATGCAACCTTTCTAAGCAGCACTGGTCTGCAAACTGCTCTTTTTGTTGCCACTGGGGCTGTGAGCACTGGGCCTGCAGTGTGGGAAACCCAGACCCCACTTTCAAGGCTGATGATAGTTGTAGCAGGTGAAGAACTCCCACGGGTGGGTGCAGCGATCCAGTGTCTGCTGCAGCCCATAGAAAGAGCTCCGTCTAGCCTGGGTCAGCTCAGAAAATTCGTATTACAGCTCATGGGGTTTCTATGACGTTATGGGAGGGGTGCTGGAATACATGACACCAATATTATCCTTTTAAAAAAAAGACTAGGGACCTCAAAGGACCCTGTGGAACTACCTTACTCTTTTACTCTTACAGGCCAGGAATGGAACCCCTGTAAATGGTTTTCCCATTTTAGAACTCCAATTCCAGAACAGTACTGAGTGCTCTGCTCCAACTCAAAACAAAGCAAAACAAAACAAGACACTACCATGTTTCCACTGATAGGCCCAGTAGTTGATCAAGTTGTGTGATAACAAGCAATAGGGAACTAAGAGCCACTCTTAATTGTTTTTGAGCTTGAAAATTATAGTATACAATGCTTTAAATATTTTACTTTTCTAAAAATTAAAGTAGAAATGAGTGGGTATCTGTTGCTATCTGCCTTTTCTTTTTGAGTTGTTCTGTATCTTTTACATACTTTTCAGAAATTTTAATTAAATATGTATTAAAGAATAAGAATTTATTTTGGAAAATTTCAAAATTCTTATTATGTTTTTAATTAAATTTTTTATGGCACCTAAACAGGGTATTTAGCCTCTAAGCATTTCAAAGGGATTAAGTGTTTGTTTTCCTACAACATTAAGGTGAATTAAGGATATAATTTAGGTATGAGTTGAAGACAGTCAAATGTTTTTTCATGCTTTTGTTCAGTTTCCTGCAAGTTTATATCTGCCATAAGATAGAGCTACTCATCTTCAACTTTGAAAGGATGCATTGTGCTACTTGGTAACTTGCACAACACCTCGCACCTCATTAACCCAAGGGCAGGGACAATACTGGTTTGACACTGCTAAATGGCAGTCCTATGCTTCCAGTATCTGAAGTGCCTTCATTTTTAAAGTGGTTAAGAAAAAAACAAAAGGTTTAAATTCTTTAAAAACGTGTTATCTTGTGAGATATTGTTTTAGGCCATTCAGAGTTCATTTTTTAAAAGATTAGTTATTAGTGACCTTTGAAAACAATCATCATATACTTTATTTGAATATTTATGATATCATAATCACAATGTAGAGTTCATGGCTTAAAGAAGTATGAACTCATCTCAAGTTCCATTTGTTTTACGAGTTAAATAATTTCTATCATAAATCTAACAATATGGATTTGAAACACTAGGTTTAATACTAGGATTTTCTTTTCTAACATGAAACAAACTTGTATTTCACATCTTAAACTAAGGTAGGAATGGAAATAATTTTGTGGTGTAAATGAAAATGTTCTTCTGCAACTTCTATATATTCTTAAACCTTAGAAAAGAGACATTTATAATATTAATAGCTGTAACAATTTTGTTTCACTTGGTTTTTCTTTTTCTAGGATTTACTAACCAGACATAAAGTGTTGGTAGCAGACTTCTTAGAACAAAATTATGACACGGTAAGTAGAAATCATTTTTAAAGACTTTACTGCTTTCTCTTTCCCTCCTTCTTAGATCTATGAGCACTTGCCCCTATGAATTATCCACAAGAGAAATCAATCGTATTCAGCCATACTCCTGATTTGTCTGTTTACCTGGAAACCATGTCATCAGGAAATTTTATGGAAAATTGAGGATGGTGGGAGGTCAGAGCTTTCGCCTTTTTCACATCTCTTCCTGTGGTGCTCTGAAGCTTCAAGAAATGACTAGCACTTGCCTGCTTTGATGTTGCTCTTAGGAGGCAGTAGGTAACTCCAAAGGAAGAGAATCCCACCTTTACTGTCTACTTGGTTGATAATTACTCTTACTTAGTAGCAAAAATATGAAAAATATTTTTATCTTACAACTCTCTTCCCTGACAATAAGCAGTGAATCCAACTCACCATTTTGAGATTTGGTTGAAATGTCACTTTTTAGGAAGCTTTCCCTAATCCCACCCCTCCCAAAACATGCATCCTACCTCCT